CGTTAAATTTGACCGTTCTGAACGTTAAATTTGAACGTTCTTCGTTCTAAAGAACAAAATTCGCTGTTATAGTAATAAAAAAATTATTATTCTTCAAATTTAGATTTAATATATTTGATTTAATACATCTTTTTAAGTGGTGCAATTAATCATTCAAATTTATTACAGAAAAAACTTTGAATCGTTAAAAAAAAGAGTTAAATTACATATTTGCGTGCAATAGTAAAATTTGTTATAGTTATATTAACATCAGATAATTGTTAAAGTATGTATTACATGTAAGAAAACGAAAAATAAGATCAGTTGTAAAATATGATGTTATCGTACATTATTTATGAAAAATAATAGCAGATAATGAATATACATGTAAATGTAATCATAAACCTCAACACACAAACTTTACGCGATATCAGTTTCAATTAATTTTAATTATAAATAAAAAATATAAACTCAATATTTTTAAATTAAAATTTTTTAATCTAGTTAATTTCCAAAATTATTAAAGTACTTTTCGGTGGTAGAATATTCTATATATGCTCTATTTATATGATAGAATATGTGCAGATTTGTTGTATTTACAAATAAGATATAGCACTTTTTTGTTTTTTTTATACAACCATTTCTCTCTGTATTAATTTCTTTGTTATTAATCTTCCTTTCATTTATTTAGATTAAATATAAGGTGATTTTTTAGGAAAGTGCTGAAAAATTGGGGTACCTCACCAGGGTTCACCCAAAATCACAAATATCTGTATAATTTGAATAAAATGTTAAAATTACGTGTATATATATCCTAATGAAATAAGATGAAACGTACGATAATAAATCAAGAGCTGCTATCTTCATCAAACAAAACAAGGTGAAATTATATTTATTTTTCGAGATTAAATTTGCAAGTTCATGCATGTAAATATCTTTCCAGAATGGCCTATTATTTTTACTTTTTTGTGATCGTTACGATCGTAATTTTTTAAACTATTATAATCTCGTTTTTCGGAGAAACCTATGGTAATATTTTTGTGCAGTTAGTCTCCGATCCATACCTGTCACTAGATTATACGTTAAAAGTTATATTTTCAACATTTTTTCTCTATCGTTTCATCATTAACCTATCTTAAAATTTTGTACACATTAAGTTCGGTACTTCAACCTTATTATATACAGAAATTAAACATTTCGATGGTAACTCAATTTACTAAAAAAATCACCTTAAATACAAAAGCCAGTGTAAAAACACTACTTAAATGAAATCGCAATTGTCAAAAATATAACAAATATTATAAATATTAATATTACAAATAATATTTATGTTTGCTTTCTGAGACAGTTTATATAATTGAGATTATAAAGAACAGAAATGCGCTTGAACGGCGTAAAATTATGTAAATAAAATATTTCAAAATATTTCGGTGCAAAGATTTTTTTTTCCTTTATATATCCTATTACTAATTTTTATTCAAAATAATATATCCGTTTAATAATTATTTACGTGAATATGTGTGTATAATATTATAATTTATTTGCAAAAAAACTGTGTTCTCTTTCTGCCCATTTTGAACAATTTAATAATTCACGTCAAAATTCGGAATACAATTCTATTTATAACTTTATTTGCCGTATACTATAAAAAAACATTCGAAGAACACATATGTATGATATATATTAAAATACACATATGTACAAAAATACACGTAAATTATTATATGAATTATGTTTATAATGCGTGTATAAAAATATACGGCATATCACAAATTACAAATAGAATTGTACTGTGAAATTTAACATCACTTATACATTGTCTAAAATGAGCTTTAATTATAATATTTATCCTATTTACATCCTTCATTCACGGATTCAAAATCGATGGCACATTCATCGATAATTGATAATTGTACAAAACTCTATTTTTCTATATTGATCGCATATTATATTTTAATTATGAATTTCACTCTAATTCATTACCTATGACTCGTTACAGTGGCCTTCTGTCTTTCTCTTTTCCCGTTCGCCGCTCAGTCAAATTTCTCGGACTAAGCGCACGGTGTAAACCAGGCCATTGTCGATACAAATCAAATCTGATAACTAATTAGGCTTAGTTACTTCAGCAATATTGCTGTCACCTCGCGATTTGCTTGCACTTTTGCTCGTATCGTTACCACTTCTATATGTACTACTAACTGTAAACCTAATTTGTAAATTCATGCAATGCAAGTTATTATTATGATTATTATTATATTTTGTATTTGTTATTTGACATTTTACTAACTGGAAATCGCTGTCACTTTCAGGGGACGAGAATAACAGAAAATTAAACTTCGTGATATGCCCCGATTGCGGAAGAATTTGTAAAGATGACACTCATCTACTACGCAGAGAATGTAAAAAGGAACGCAATTTTGTCTGTTCAACATGTGATAAAGCTTTCAGACGGAAGTATCACTTGCAAAGACACTATCTAGTACACGAATTCAACAAACTGAACTAATAACTAATTTTTATTTTGACTTTCGAACTTTATTATAAACAGATTACTGTATTTTTGTTTCATTATGTAAAGAAATAAATATTTACTGTATACTTTGTATCTAACGAAACAAAATAAACTTCAATTAAAAAATTTGTTTGATAAATACTTATATTCTTCTTCACAAGTATGCAATAAAAATATGTATCATTCATAAATTATTAGATCAATTCTAAGCAGAATCGTAAGACTCGTAATGCGTCCTTGTAAAAACTTGTAAGAACTTATGATTAGTATTCTAATTTTATATGTATCGTAAGATGTACACTGAGAGAAATGATTTTGTTATAGGAACAAATAAAGGGAAAACAAATGTGATATTTGTTAAAAAAGCGATCAATTAGTTACTATTTGTTACAATTAGTTACTATTGCAAATTAATTATTTCTTATTCGTCAATGTAACAAATAATCAACAATATCGCTTGCAAATAAGAGGCTCATATACATATATAGAAGTCGTAGACGATCGCAGGGTCTCAAATCGTAAGAAATTGTCCGATTCTAGTCAAATATTCTCCCTATATTTGACTGTGATTGATCAGTTTCCACAACTTAAGACTCCACGATCATATCTATGATTTCTGTGTAAATGAGCCTAAAGTCTATTTAAAAGATAGGTTAAATTCTATATAGTTTGTTTCTGTAGTAAACTGGTTAATATAGCAGACTAGCAATCATAACAAACCAAATTTGTTGTCACATATTTATCGGTCCCTTGTTAAAGGTACTGATGGCTTGTTAAATTAATAAAATCCTTTCTCTCAGTGTACGATTATTCGTAAATCTACAATTTCTTGTAAATTTTATGGTTGGTAAAAAGTTATTTGTAAAAATATTATATAAAGGTATAAGCATTTAAAAATTCTTATAAGTTTTACAAGAATATTATGAGCCTTACGATTCTGCTTAAAATTTAGGCATATTTCTGATATTGCAATATACATATACGTTTCGTTTAAATGTATGATAAAAGAAAAATTCATAACATAAAAAATATTAGTTTTAATCACAAAATGTTGGTACTAGTATAAAGAGCTCTGAAATGTTTTTTAATGTTCTAAACCTGATTTTGGACGCTTGCGCAGAAACTATTTATCTCTCCCGCATTGGGTCATCCAGTAGCGCAACCGCTCACTAAGCAACTCAGTACCATCTAATTATCTTTAGATCCAATCAATCACATTAAATTACTATTTAGCTGCTTGTGAGTGATTACACTATTGAATGCATCTATTGTTTCAGTTGACACTTAAATGCCGTAGCAAATACCTATTTTATGTACTGTCGTCTGAGGAATTGAAAACATGTAATCACAAATTTCAATTCCGCAAGCGAATTATATACCTTCTGCTATGTCCACATGGCTTTATTGGCAATGTATGAGAGACAAATAACTTCTGCGTATACACTGTGCACCTAAAATTATTGAGTTTATAACTCCATAAAAAAATTTCAGAGCTGCTTTTTACACTGATCCACATTTTGTAATTAGAACTAGTAATTTTTATGTTATAAATTTTTTTTTATTATACATCTAAGCGGAATACTCCGTATTATATATATATATATAAACAATTTAATTAATAATTTATGTATATATATTCAAAGATACAGCATTTTATCAAAGTCATTTAAAATATAGAGCATTTTATATGTACCAATTTAAAAAAGACACCCGGCATTTTATCTGTATAAAATCAGGCAAGTTATATTTTACTAATGTATTTATATGTGAATATCGATTGATATTACTATGTATTTAAATATAATTAAAATTAATCACATCTGTTTCTTTAATTATATTTCGGAAGGATCTCGTTTACCAACAAAGCGATTGCCTACAGCACCGTTTGTCTACAGCTTGATTGCCTACATGCACTTTTGAGCACAAATAAAAATGTCAAAAACGGAGTCATATTTGTCTACATGTATTATTGCTTACAGATCGATTGCCTACAAGCATTATTCCTTGCTTTATATATAAAAACAAATTCTATTTTAAAACACAAATTCTTTTCTTTAAAAATACAAATTCTCTGTTTTAAAACATAAATTCTTTGCTTTAAAAATATATATTTTATTTGTGCGCAAGAGAGCATAGCTTATTGTAAACAATAATCTATGTAGGCAAATGTGACTTCGTTTCTGAAATTTTTATTTGTGCGCAAAAGTACTTGTAGGCAATCGAATTGTAGGCAATAATTTTTACGCGCAAACGAACTGTCGGCAAATGTAATGTATAAGGCAAACAATACTATAGACAATCAATTTGTAGGCAAAAGAAGACATCTCCTATATTTCAAGCAAATAAATTTACATCTTAATAAAACTTCTGCAATTAAAAAGTTTAAGCTCTTTTTTACTTGTCTGATCTCGGTGTGACAGCCTGTCATAAAATAATCACAATGTTTCTTATTTTAAATTGCTACCAATAATTTAATCTAGCTCCTACGTTTTTCTGTTTTACTTTTCAGTCCCGAAACTGATCGTGAAGAACATACAGAAGCTGAAATACGCAAAGAAGCCAGTAATCTACAAATGCACAAGATGCACCAAGAGTTATCAATTGGAAACATCCTTGCGAAGACATCAGAGATTGGAGTGTGGTGTCCATCCCAAGTACAAATGCATAATATGTGGCAAACAATTTACACATAAATTTGTATTAACTCATCATTTAGCGTCCTGCAAGAAAAAAACAGCTTGGAATGGGATATGGTAAAATTGTAATTAGTGATGACCTCATCGATTTCAATGAATCCTTGATATAGGATAAGGTTGCCAAAATCGTACCATTTTTCACATAGAGGTTTACAACTCAGAAATTATAAAGAATATTCGTTTTTTACAGCATAATAAACTGTACTCTTTTTCCTTTCTTATGTAATTTGTTCATAACTTATTTGCATTATTATAATGTTTTAAATTAGAATTTTTTCAGTATGGTGCGATTTTGGTAACGAGGAAATCCATTGCTCAAATTGAACCACATACTGATATTTTTTATTTAAAACATTATAATAATACAAAAAATTTTCATTACGTAAGAAAAAGAAAAAATTGTATTTCTTATGTTGTTAAAAATTTAAGAATATATTTTTAATAAATTCTGAAACACGTGATAATTTCAGGAAGTAATTTAAAGAGTTTCTATGTGAAAAAAAGCAAAATAAACACTTCGTAGGTTTACAACATACATTTTTAAATAATAATAAATGGAATAAAAATGTACGAAATGTAAAAATATTAGGTAACAATTGTGGTGTGCGATTGTGGTACGATTTAGGAGACTATACATTATGATGCGAGTTAGGAAACTAGAGCATTTTATAAACTTTTATTTATTTGACCCATAAATAAAAATGTAAACTTTAACTCTATTAATTTAATTTCAATAATATTCTAATTACGATATACAAACGATCTTAGACTATTTAACTTATATTTTCTGTAATTCGATCTGCTATGAAATACGTTGAAAAATAGCAATACTATCACGATTTTTTTAATTACGTAAGTAACAACACTTCTATTGTGCTTTATGTCACGAGTGTAATGCAGCAGCGTTGCAATACCATGTAGTTCTTATAAATAAATTATAAGAAAGTATGTAAATACAATAATTGAATTTTTAAACGTGGTTGTGCGATTTCAGCAATTATCCTATGTTGTCAAAGATTGTATAATCTAACGAAATTCAAATTAATCTTATGTCATTAAATTATGACAGTTGAAAGAATTTATTTTAAAACTAGTGTTTTTCATAAGTCGGATTTTTCGAAATTGTATTACTAACGATAAGATTGCAAAGGAGTTTGCTCTCGCTGTGCAACGTCAAACTGGTGCAATAAAATATGAAGTGTATGTGTTGCGTATATACTGATAAATACATAATTATATATTTTTGAAAAAATTTTAAACTTGTAATTTGTTTAAAAACTTTTCATTTGTATCATTAAATAATATCATTTTTCATTATTGTATGGAAAGCAACTATGAGCCTATATGTGTGGTTATGTACTAGGATATAATGTATCTGATTCAAACATTATTTTATCTAAGACTATAGATTTTCAGAATAAGTACACAATAAGTCTTGTTTATTGCGTATGATAAATCGGTATTGTATACTTCTTTAGATAATTTCGAATTTTTATTTATTTTTCATACATTTATATCAAATAAAGTCTACTAGATTTATTTAATTATATAAGATATAAAAAATTATCATTAGGATTCTTTGTTTAAATTAGTGTATACAATTGTTCTTAAATGTTTAGGATTTCAAGAAAGAAAAAGCGTTTCTAATTCCACTATACATAACATCTTTATATAAACGCATAAATAATAAATATACAATGTTTTTAAATAGTGCAATAAACTGTCCCAGGAACAAATATACTGACATTTTCATTTCTTATTGTATAAAAATAAAAACAGAATTTACAATACCAAGCTAAATATACATTTGTATCAATAAGTTAACTAAAGTTTTATCGTTGTAATAAAATTTTATATGTTAATTCATTTATATAATTATTTCTATCCTTGACATCTACTTTTAAATATATCTAAAAATTTTAGTAACAAATGACGATTTCTACTTTGCATAAAAATCCGCAACAGCATGCGTTACTCTTTTTTTTATCTCTTTATCTCGTTTTATTTTCTGCTCTTTTTTCATAATTGATCTCTTCTGCATCATCGCACTTTTCTTAATCTTGTATCTTTACAGCTTATATAAATTAAATTTTAGCAATACTCTGATCAAAACTTTTTTGATTTTCCGGTCGAAAGTGAAAGTTTTAACTGCACGAATTTAATCACTGCATCACTGCAATGCTTACCAGACACTGGCAATGGATAAAATGATAAAAGGTTCTTGACACATTAATTACTCATTAAACGCTCATAATTAATTAAATAATAGTATGTAATTTTTAATTCCAGATATTTTATAAATTTTATTCCATTTTTCCTATTTTGAAAAATATTTATTCTAATTTTTTTATCTTTTACTAATTTTGTCTTTTTAATGACAAAAAATTACCTTAATTATGTGTTTTCTCCACAAATTGTGTTCTCTCGGATAATGCAATTTTTTAAATCATTTTTAATTAAGCTGCAGAAAGAAGTTGATGATCGACATTATATATAATCCTTGTATCTTTAATTTACTTCACCAGAAATCCATTAAAGATGAAAGAAACTGTAATTAGATCAGTCTATCCACATTTTTAGCTATAAAGTCATTTCGTTTGATTTCTATTTCCGGTTCGGGGGAGCATTGCGATTACAACATAGCGTCGAACAAATCGCAAATAAATTGTCTAACCACATTATCTTTTCGTTGCAGGTCTGTTGGCACAGATGCTGATGTCGCAGGATAATAACGAGTGGACTCAACGTCGAGCGAGTGGATCATCGTACAAGATGTCCAGAGGTATCCGAAAGAAGAGCATAGGCGATGCCAAATACGAATGCGGCAGATGCGGGAAAACATACAAGGCCACGACATCCTTGAGTCGACACAAACGACTTGAGTGCGGTGTTGTGCCTTGCGAGGTATGTCCTATCTGTGGCCGCAGATTCAAGCACAGGTTCGTCCTAAACGCTCACATCGTTGGTTGTGAGAGAAGAATGAATCAAACGATACAGAAGAAGGATTTCGATTAGAGGCCACGATTAATCAGCGATAAGGACGAACGAAAGCGATTATTATAAGTGAAGATTCATGATCAACTTGTATAGAGCAACTAATGGAACCGATTGAAATGTTTTTAATTGACGCGATATTTAAAATATTTGAAATATTTGAAATTAACGATGCAAGCAATTTCGCATAAAATAGAATACTTATTTGTGTACTAATGACATAAGATGAACATATATCCCAAGATAACTGGCTGACAAATATTATTTCAACTTATGAGAATAGAATAATAATTTTAAGGAAATAGAATAATAATTTTAAAAGATGTAACTTTAGATTCCAAAAGTCAAATCGAAATTGCTATGGACATACAAAAAGAGATGCTTTTTAAATTTTCATAAACGCTTCAGTATATTTACTTCTACGTACGAAAATATTTTTTTCTTTATTCCAATAAAAAGTCTTTATTATTTTTCTATTAATGACTATTATAATTAAGAATGAATATATGGATTTACACGAGTGAATTCATGAGATGAATGAATAATCCTTTTGCGAGACACTTTGTTATGTCTACGTAGGCATTTCGATGTATATTTATGACGAAGTCATAATGTATTTATCGTAGCCATAATGTATTTAATCTTTTATTACTTGTGCAGTTTAGTCATAAAAATAGTCATATATATGATATGTATAATATAGTCAACTGTTAATCCAAGCCAAACGAATATTGTTATTTTGACACAGACGATATTATCGTCTATGCTTTTTACTCCGCGAATGAATGAATACTGCAAATATATACTTCCTATTTTTTATTATACAACAAAATTCTATAATTACCTAGTGCATTAACGCGTAACCTGTATGTATCATATATATTGAGAATATAAAATTGTTAAAATATATACTCATTCATGTTTTAATTTATCATGATCGTTTTTCATGATTCACGAGTATAACATTTTTATATGTTTAACGTATAAATTTTAATCGAAAAGCTATTAATAAAATAATAATAATGCATCTTTTCAATTGCACAATTATCGTGCATCTGTTTTGCATTGAGTTCACATTTAATCTAATTTGTGTTCGTAAGTTTTATTTTGGTAATAAACACAGCTATCTATAATTTAGAAGTTTTATTTTATATGTTTTTTGTATTATAATCTATAAATATAAGATAAAATAATCATTTGTTTGTTTTAATTAATTGAACGATAATAAATAATTTTTAAAATATGAAATTTATTTAATCTTTATTTCTGAAGTAGGATTAATTATTTAAGGATTATATATTTATCTTATCATTTTACCAACATATAATATTTTTGTTGAAAATATATAGATAATATATTGTTATCATTTAAAATAGGAAATTATCGTTTCATGCAAATATTTTTTACACAATTTTTAATATTGAATATTTTGAATATAATTTTTTAATTCTAATTTATGTATTGATTAATTCTAATTTATTGTAGCAATATATTTAATAACATATTTAAAGATTTGACTAATTTAGATATTTTTTAATTCCATATACATCGGTTTAATAGTTTTTGTGTATATAATTATTTCTTTGCTATGTTTTAATACTCCATTAAATTTATTTATAGCTTTATATACTCATTTATTGTATAACTTAATAAAAAAAATTTTTTATTCAAATTTTGAACCTACATCCTGTCTTTTTTTTCCTTTTAAAAGCACTATGTTTACAACAACCTCATGAAACGATTTGTCGATTTACAGCTTTTCCACTCGCATCAATTTTATGTCGGCAAAACTCAAGGTATGAAGCATGTTTCGTTACGACTACAAAAATTCGGATGACTCTTTAAAAACGAGAAACTGTACGACTCTGTAATATTTCCGACGAATGCTGTAGATTTGAAACATTTAAAATTATTACGTGTATTTTTTATGTTAGAATACATTGATAAGCAATTTATCAGGGCTGGTAAAATTCATGTTTTAAACATATTTTAAACTGTTTAAAACGTGCTTAATCGATGTTTTTAACATGTTTTATACATGTTTTTTTATAATACTGTTTAAAGCATGTATGTACATTGAAAAAAAAATTTAATTTCAAAGAAATATTTCTTTGTTCGTATTTAAAAAAATTATTTCTTTGGCTCAATAAAAATTTGTTTGAAAATAAGATATTGTACAATATCTTATTTTCTAAATAATTTTTCTTAATAGCAAGCAAAGAAATATTTCTTTGAAATTAAGATTGTTTTTTAGTGTAACATTAAAAACATGTTTGAGAGAGAGAGAGAGAGAGGGGGGGGGAGAGAGAAAAACGTTTTATTAAAAAAAAAAAACATACATTATCTCTTATCGACCCTATAATTTATTATATTTTCTTTTTACTATCGACTCTATCGCAAATGAAAAAACAAAACGAAATATTATATTTTTCCTAAAGTTTACGATCTTAATAAAACAAACTGTCATATCAATTGTATGTATTATTTCCAACTATCACTACTGTGTGATTATGTAAATGTATAGCCTAGACTTTTATGATGCAATGTACAACGATGTCTTCTTCTCTTTTTCATTTGATTTAATATATCTCAATTAACAAAAGAACGTAACCCATGTGAGTCTCCCTAAAAATGACAATTATTAGTAAAACTTGAATACAAAATTCAAGAGTTGTAAGGGTGACATGATTTAAAAAATGATTTCTCTAATAAAAAAAAGAGAAAAAATAAATCATTACATGATTAAATCTATACTGCAAAAATTGATATATTCATTGCAGCGTGGATTGAGTATCGATCGATTCGTCTCTATTGAACCTCTTATCAATTAAACTCAATATTTTTACTCTGATCTCTATTAAATTGTTATTAAGTCACCAATTTCACGAAAATAATAAAATCTTTTTCGTATTCCAGACGGTGTCCTGATGAACAAATTTGAACCGAATGCTAACCACCTGAATATGTTCCGACATTTCGTAAATTGTGGCCAAATAGAGCCGGTACCGAAGCAATATTTTTGCGGTGAATGCGGCAAAGTATATAAATGGATGGACAATCTGCGCCGACATCAAAGACTGGAGTGCGGCAAGCTACCTAAGTGGCATTGTGAAATTTGCCTGAAAATGTTCTATCGTCGATATGAATTAACCAAGCACATGAAATTGAAACATCACAAAACGTAAACAATTCACCTACAATATATAGAAGATATTCTTTCGTTAAATAAAATACATGTTAGGTTCTTCACACATTGCCCGTGATTATTTAGAATTATAATTATAATTGTGATTATTGTAATTGTAATTGTAATTATATTTACATTATAATTTTCATATTATACATACATTATATAATTTATATATAATTATATATTATTTACGAGATCTGTCTAATCTCTGTATATCTTTGTCTCTGAGCATCCACTCATTCATTCACTCACTCACTCACTCACTCACTAACTCACTCCCTCCCCCCCCTCTCTCTCTCTCTCTCTTTCACTCCCTCCTTCTCTCTCTTTTCGGTATTTAAGGAGGACCTCGAGGAATACCTCCTATTAATAAAAGAACCACGCGAAGTGATAACTGATAAATCAGTGATCATTATCACTGATAATGATTTTGATTTTAATGAAACTTTATATACATATAGGTTACATAAAAAGATGAATTTAAAAAATATCCGTTGCGGCGAAAAAACGGTTTAAAAATATGAAATCACCCCTTATGTAGTAAAGCGGTTTTCAAAATTTTTTCCTTTATATTTCGAAAACTATTCCAAATATAAAAAAAATGTTTCACACAAAAGTTTTACAACAAAATTAGCTTTATTCATTTACATCAATAATATTTTTAATTAACTTTAATTCATTATTTTTAATTAATTAATAAACATTTTTTTTAATTAAAAAAAAATTTTTTTATTTTTCAAAAATATTGATGTGGATGAACAGAGGTAATTTTATTGTAAAAGTTTTGTATAAAACATTTTTTGATATCTCGAATAGTTTTTACGATATAGCGAGAAAAGCTAAAACCCGCGTTACTTGTATATAAAGAGTAATTTCACCCCTTAAACCGTTTTTACACCGCAATTAATATTTTCTAAATTCATCTTTTTACGTAACCTATATGTATATAAAGTTTCATGAAAATCAGAATTTAACATCGTGTGGTTCCTTTGTAAGCACGACCCAACAGCTGAGTTATTGGCTATCACAAAAAATGATTTTCAGGACTGCTTCCGGAAGTGGATAGACCACTGGAAGAAGGTCATTGCTTTGAAAAGAGATTATTTTGAAGGCGACTGTCATATTACTCCAGAGTAGCTTTTTCTCATGATATAGGCAGGGATCGGATACTTTTGGGACAGACCTCGTATACTATGTATAATTATATAATATATACTACAAAATATATTATTTATATTATAATATATATTGTATATAATATATAATTATATATTATTTATTGTTTATATTATAGTATTATAAGTTTGCAATCTTCATTTCTCTCTCTCTTTCTCTCTCTCTCTCTCTCATATTTGCCTTTTATCAGATAATTCTATATGATATTGTGTCATACAATAAATATTAATAAATTGATATGCTGATTGAACTGACTGATCGTATGAACTCAAAGTATAATCAATCCTCGCGCGACAAATATTTTTTTATTGAATAGAAACATAGACATTAGGTTTTTCTTATTTTCTTTCACCCTATTATTCTGGAATTTACTATATTTTTTGCGATTATGCTAATCGTATTATGAATTATATAATGAATTGTATAATATGAAACAACATATATCTTCTAGTCATTATCGAAATGAAGAAATTTGCGTTCTGATTACAAAATATGTTCTGATAAAGAGATACTGATGATACTGATAAAGAAGTTATTCTGTTATAATTAATTTTGCTAATTTTCTCTATTATAATCTGTTTCATATTATTACAATTATCATATTGTACTTATATATTGTAAGAAAAATATTATTATATAATATCAACTGCCGTCATAAAAATATAAAGTATTAATAAAGCGAGTATCTATTGTATAATTATCGATCTTTCGAGTCTATCAATAAAATAATATTACTGAAAAAGTAATGTTCGAACACCATGCTGCGATACTATTATTTTCCTGTTTATCTCTCACAAACATTGCACTTATGTGACTTCACATTTATTACTCATTCGAGATTCATCATGGAGTGGTTGTACTTTTCGAATTCATCGATAATCCGCACGCGACCACTCTATCTGAATGCATGCGCTTATAAGGCTCTTCTCTCATGATTTCTTTCTCGTCTTCACGAATTTTCAGCTGATCAAAACGTAAAGTTAACGAATGTTTTCTTTTTTCTTTTTTTTTATAGACAACAATGATGAACTGTCCGATTGGTTAGTTGAACCGTTCGTAAAGCAGGAGCTCAAAGAAGGAGGCTGCTTCGAGTTCGTGACTGTTCCCAATCAACTGTCCTCGGACCGTAAGAAAAAACAAGTGAGAGAGAAGGCCACCCCGCTCGTCTGCGAGGAATGCGGAAAGCATTTCTCGAGGATCGACAGTCTCAAAAGACACGAAAAGAAATACTGTAAAATGACATTTACCAAACCTTCGTTGACACTCTCTCTGGCACACTCATCTGTTGACGATGATAAAAGTTGAAAAGAAATCATTGTCTCCGCGCAATTACATAAAGTGCGTCATGCTCATGCGCCTTAGATAAATAGATAAGGATAATGCGTGAATTGTATGTTAATATGATCGATCTATCTTAGATTTATTTAAGTTTCTCTTATTTCGCAAAAATATGTCAGACTTTATTATCAAATAAATTTTCAAGTAACACTAAATATTATTTAGATTACAATTAGAGAAATTTAAAACGTTAATTTATCCTTTATAGTTTATAGAAAAATCCTGAAGAATAAAAGCATGCGCCTTATTGAGATATTTTTTTTGTATTTCTTAAAATTTGAGAAGAAGCTAATACATATAAGTTTGATTTGTAATAAAATGGAATAGATAAGGTTAACGTAAAATATTTTTCAGGCCTGTCCAACGGAAGGGCTTGCCCTTATGCGTAATAAGAACAGAAGAAGCTAATATTATAGCTGAATCATGATATAGCACACATATTCTACGTAATGATCCGTGCGCAAGAATTGACTAGAATTTACTTAGATCAATTTTAGCTTCAAAATATTGTCTTTTTATCTCTCTTGACGAAACAATGAAGGGAGGAAGATGTCTGAATAAAACTTTGGACAGGCCTGTTCTATTTGCTAATTCTTATTATTTTGAGTATCTTTGTATCGAAAAAAAACTTCTACATTAGCGCCATACTGTTTATTTTCATTTATTTCAAATTATGACGTACAACCTATTTTCGTTCACGAATTTAAAGTTGACTCATTTGTTATTGTTTCTGAAAGATGTTACAACATTAGAGGAAGGTCACCGATACTAACACACCATTTTATTTTTGAACAATATTTCTCAAATAGAGCTAAAAATAAAACTTTAGAAACATAAATACAAACTAGAAAGTACCATCTATCAGATAATAGCAGTTTTTATGATACAGTTTGCAACTTTGTAATAATTAAATTTTCACAAGGTACAAAAAATGAGCGTTTGATAAAATGGGCTCCAAAACTGAAACAATAGGCAGCAATGCCATATATTCTTTTTTTTTCGTAGGAATTATCTGTACAAAGTATAAGTAAAGTTCTACAAGATTTTTTAGAATCTTTTTACTTCGATATAACAATTTTTATTGATTTATAAGCTTTGTATCTATTGTTCTGCAAGACGCAAATATATAACGCAACAGTGATACGTTGTGATCCTGGCGAAAAATTTTTTGTGAGAAACTACGTAGATTGACAAAGTCTTAGAAATTATTAGTTTTTCATAGATATTCGTAGTGGGACGTAGAATGACGTTGTTTGAGGATTTCTTGGTTTTTCAAATAAACAACGCACTCTACGTTCCACTACGAATATTTACGAAAAACTAAGAATTTTTAAGATCTTGTCCCAAGTCTATGTAGTTTTCTATACTTTCTCGTAAATATTTTTTTTTTCATCATTTTTACTTTTTTAATCATCTAAACAAATCATGTTTTTATCAGTCTTAATAAAGTACAATATTCAATTTTCAAGAAATAAGAGAATATCTCTTTAGGAGACTTATACTAATATCGATTACTTTCCCCTAGCTCATATCCCTTTTATTTACATAATTTTCAAAATATTTTCAACTTATAAATCGAAGCATAAATTGACCGGTTTTACGTGGAGCTCAATTAATTTTTTCAATAAATTTAATGAAAATGATGAAAGAAAAGAGAGAAGCAGTTTTTAACAGGGAAAGTTATTTTGTAAAAGTAATTAGTTACAGTTACATTTTTTTTTCTCAAAAGTAATTAGTTATCATTACAAGTTATTGACTCTGAAAAATAACTCACAATCAGTTACAGTTACTGAAAACGTAACTTTCAGTTACTTTTCAGTTACTTTTTTTCTCATCAGAATTTTCAGCAGAACGAGTAACATCGATACTATTAAAGCTGCATTCAGAAACGTTAACCGAGTGCCTCCGTGTATCGTTTTATCCTTGTCATTCACCTAATATTAAACAAGGATAATACAGGAGTCAATGCGGTTTAGAACATTCGAAGAAAAAGACTGGTTTACATTTACATGTTATACAATTTTATTCAAAAAAATAAGAAAATCGTATGGCAAAGACGTTTCTCTTGAAAGTAATATAAATACGTATGAATATAAAATTATATAATAGCATACGACAATGTTTCTTATAAAATAATTCTTCATGCTATATTTGGCTAAAAGTTGCAAATAAAAAAATTCCAGCCTATAGATTTCCTAATCCAAAATGTTACTAAAAATTCTTATTAATTTTTAACAGAATTTGATATTCAATTGTATCACCGTGTAAATGTCGTTGTTTCTTTGACGTTATTGCGGAATCATTAATACTGAACATTAAACAAAAGCACTACTTAGAAGTGCCGTATTATATTTAAAGCATAATTTTTTTATTCTGTCACAATCATTTAACATATCAACATTGAAACTATTGGACTTCAAAAAATTAATGATGCAATTCTTTTTGTAAAGATTCGATTTTTTGTTTGCTGGTTAAAATGAAAAAAATCGTCTTAATCGCCGAATTCTTCATAAATTGAAGAATTTTCACTAGTATTTCCTTAGTTTTACATGTACATTTCTTTTCAAGAATAGGGGCCCAACACTAGCTTCAACACTAAAAGTGACTATAAACGCAGCCATAATCAATCACATATGAATACGGTCTATTTGATGTTACAAATGTTTTGAAGTATTCTTTTATCGACCAATTAATAAATTTCATTCTTCTGATTGGTCAATCAAATGTCTCGAAGCATTTGTAGCGTCAAGTGGACTGCACATTAAATTGACAAATAAGTTTGAAATATATAAAATAACTATAAAAGTAACTATTAAATTAGTTATAAATTACTTAAAAGGTGTAAGTTAAGTTAAAATTACAGTTACAGATGGAAAGAAAGTAACGAAGTTACAGTTACTGAAGAAAAGTAACTGTAACCTCGTTAAAAGTAACGAGTTGCTTCCCATCTTTGATTTTTAATAAGTCGCTAAGTATACATATTATGTATATATATATATATATATATATACACACACAATATATACATATGTATATTTAATAATGTCATTAAGTCTATTTTAAGAAAATTCGTTTTAAATTTTATTTTCAGAAAATAAAATAAATAAAAAATAAGTGAAAAATTGTATACAATTTTCCATTAAACTTATTTCTGTATTTTTCTTTCTTCGTATTATATATTCATATTCGTGACTTTTTTGTAGAATGTAATGTTCACAAATATAGAGTTTGTACAAAATTTAATAAGCATGTATGTATGCATTTTATAGTTCATAAATAAATTAGTTTACAACGCGTGTCTCTATATATATCTATATAATAATATGATATATATGTTTATGCACTATCATTATTTTTCCAATCAATAAATATCTGCAAATTTTGAGAAAGTAACTTTCTTGCTAAACTTTTAAACCCTACTTTTTATACAAAATTGTGTACGAAAAACATGTGTCACGAATCTCTTATTATCTTTCTCTATAACAAAAGAAACCGCCAAAAAAAATCTTTATAATTAACAATGAATTAAAGTTTTAAAGAGAATTTTTCCTCCTTTTCCTACTTCTCTCTCTCTCTCTCTCTCTCTCTCTCTCTTTCTTTAATTCCTCTATGATTGTACGACTTTCCACACTTTATAATTATCAAAACCAAGATCGGAAGGTAATTTAAATTATGCATGCTGCTGGCTTTATACTGCTCGCGCTTGCCAGTCGTTCTGTACATCTTGTCACGTATTCTCGCTTTTTAACGAATTAACGGTGTCCTTACAGACGAGAATGAGCAATGCACTGCGGAAAAGAGCAACGATGAGGAACCGGAAATCTGCGAGGTAGCTTTTCACGGTCAGCTTAAGTACCTACTCTGTGACTCGCCGATCCTTAACAGCGTGGAAGCAAATGTGGTCCAGAAAAATTCCAAGTCTTGCCAGCAATTCCGTTGCGATGGCTGTGGCAGAGCGTACACGAGAGTCGACAGCCTGAAACGTCATCAACAGAAATGCGACGAGCTTCTGGCGTCGTTTCAGGATCGGCAGGAAGCGTTAGAAAGGCTTCAGCAGCAGGAATATTATTGTAATCAATGTGGCAAATCGTACAAAAGGCTAGATACTCTGCGTCGGCATCAGCGCAATCAAGTGTGCGCTGATAAAGAGAGCAACAATTCTTCAAAAATAGATAAGCCGAGTTTATAAGAAGAAGTCAGATCGCGATATCGATCAATCTTAGAAATATATGTATACATATTCAGTGTTAGTTATAATGAGATAAAATAATATAACTTCTTTATGAACAAGACTCTAAACTGACCTATCGATAAAAATGTCAGCTAATTTATTAGTTTAAATGTGCTTTTAAAAGAGTTACACTGACATATAGTATTAATGACTAATTTTTTCGTAATCGAATTCTAACGGATTATTAATTGTGTAATATTAACATCTCGCTTCATTAAAAATATGAAACAATGAGAGAAGGAAAGAGAGAGAGAGAGAGAGAGAGAGAGAGAGAGAGCGCGCGCGCGCGCGCGCGCGTGTGTGTGTGTGTGTGTGTGTGAAAGAGAGAGAGAGAGAAAGAAAGAAAATTCTGTGTTTCTTCGTATACAGTCGATGAAAGATTAATGCCTAAATTCTAAGCAAAATCATAAGGCTCGTAACATATTCTCTTATAAGAATTTACAAGTGTTTATAACTTTATGCAATATGTTTACTGATAGCTTCTTGCTAGAGTCATAAGATTTACGAGAAATCGTTAAATATTTACAAATGATCGTACATGTTACGGTATATACGCATAAAATTAAAACATCAATCATAGGTTCTTATAAGTTATAAGTCTTACGAGAACAAATTACGAGCCTTACGATTCTGTTTAAAATTGATCCATTAGCTTCATATCCTGTATGAACTTTATTAGATATCTAATGAGACATTTATGAGGAAAGCACGTGCAACAAGATCCAAAAGATTAATGCATATAAATATAATAAATCTCTATTGTTCATGTATAATTAAAAAATTTATGAGGTATTTATATAAATTTATATATAAATATTATATAAAAGTGTTTAAATATAAAATACTTATATATTTATATT